TGGTGGGGGCACTTTGGGGGGGAGATTCAGGTGTTGGAGTGTCCAGAGGAGGGAACAGGGGGATGGGGAAGGGCCTGGAGGGCACTGGGTGTGTTCAGCTGGAGGAGGTCGAGGGGAGACCTCACCCCTGGGACAGGGTGGGACTGTTGGGGTGTCCAGGAGGGAAAAAAAGGAAACAAAAAGGAAAAAAAAAGAGAAAAAAAGGAAAAAAAGGAAAAAAAAGGAAAAACGAGGAAAAAAAAGAAAAAAGAAAAAAAAGGGAAAAAAGGGGAAAAAAAAAAGAAAAAAGGGAAAAAAGGAAAAAAGGAAAAAGGGAAAAAAAAGAAAAAAGGAAAAAAAGGAAAAAAGAAAGAAAAAGAAAAAAGGAAAAAAGAAAATAAGGGAAAAAAGAAAAAAGGAAAAAAGAAAAAAGGGAAAAAAGGGGAAAAAAGGAAAAAAAGAAAAAAAGAAAAAAAAAGAAAAAGAAAAAGGGGAAAAAAGAAAAAAGGAAAAAAAGGAAAAAATAAAAAAAGGGAAAAACAGGAAAAAAGGAAAAAAGAGAAAAAGGAAAAAAGAAAAAAGAAAAAAAGAAAAAAGGAGAAAAAAGGAAAAAAAGAAAAAAGAAAAAAGAAAAAGAAAAAAGGGAAAAAAGAAAAAAGGAAAAAAAGGGAAAAAAGGAAAAAAGGAAAAAAGGGAAAAAAGGAAAAAAGGGAAAAAAAGGAAAAAAGAGAAAAAAGGAAAAAAGAAAAAAGAAAAAAGAAAAAAAAAAGAAAAAAGGGAAAAAAGGAAAAAAGAAAACAAAGAAAAACCAAAAAAAAAGAAAGGGAAAAAAACCAAGAAAAAAAAGGAAAAAAAAAGATAAAGAAGGCCTGTAGCTTTTTATAAACCAGGAGTTGGACTGGATGGGACAAGAAATTCCATGATTCCACGGTTCCATGACCCCCCACCCGCCAGCCCCCAGGATGGGACCCTCACCCACCTCCAGGATGGGACCCTCACCCACCTCCAGGATGGGACCCTCACCCACCTCCAGGATGGAACCCTCACCCACCTCCAGGATGGATCACCCACCTCCAGGATGGGACCCTCACCCACCTCCAGGATGGATGGCCATGCTGGACACCCACTTGCAGTTGCTCTGGAGCTTCTTGGTGAGCTCCTGCTTGAGCAGGTTGTAGACGCGGACGCAGCGCTGGGTGGCCACGAAGAAGAAGGGCCGGGTGGGGTGGAATTGGACGCACTGAACCATCCCTTTGCTCCTCTGGAACGGGGCCTGGCTCCA